ATCAAAAGATGTGCTGATCCCTCTTTGTTACTCAGAGCTGTGTTCAAGTGACTGGTTGAATGTTTTGTTACTGAGGTGCTTGTTATTGTGTGGAAAATGCACATGAATTTCTGACCAGCTCTGCACAGCTCTCAGCATTTGTGATGTTCTCAGTGGCTCTGTGCTTTTTCTTTCACCACCCTGTGGGTTTCAGGCAGGGTTGTTGTCATGTTTAGGTTGCTTATTTGGAGGCACTGACAACTTTTTTTGTATTCTTAAACCTGTTGTTCCCTTGGAGTGGATGATTTAATGAATTGTTGGCTTAAAATGATTCAAATAGATGAATTCAATATAAGAGCAGTTTACAACTTTGTGGCTATAAGATAGATGAATGTACAAGGCAGATATAATTGGGTAATATTTTTCTTCAGCTAATGTCTTAGCACTCTTTTATGCTATAGTAACATTTTGGTAATGTTTAAATTTGATGTTGTTTCTAAACATATAAAATGATCCCTAGTTGCTTGCTGGTTAGGTCGGGATCCTGTCCCCTTTCTCACTTGCCTTGGTGCTGTAAGGCTGACTGGCACCATCTTCTTCTTCACCCTTGTTGCTCTTCTTTCTCTTCCTTCATCAGTCTATTGATGTGTTCTTGAAACTCTCTCTGTGCCTCTCCATGTGAGGAGGATTCCATGTTTCTTTTATGGATTCAGCAGGTATTTCAAGCTGGATAAGGTGAAAACTATTTGTCTTTCCACCCTCTCTGTTTAGTATTTCACTTGCAGCAACCTCACCTGTAGTTCACCTCTGGTTTGAGGTCAAGGAAATAAAACAGCATTCGTCTTTTTCATCACTGAGCCATCTCTTCTCTCCATGAAAAACTCATCTTACTTGCAATGCTCCATTCTCTTGCAATATTTGAATTGTTCCTCTGTAAAATGTATGTACTTCCTGAAAGAGGGTTGTGGGGTTGTTTTGTGTGATTGGTTTGTTTTCCCCAAGAATTACAGCTAAAGGTCTTGTCTGTACTCTGGGAAGTCTTGTCAACTTTATCCTGGCTTTTCCCAGGTTTCCTAATAGGCTTCCAAGTACAGGTCCCCAACCTGTTGGTTTTTATGGTGTATCATTTCTGTTCTCTGACTCACATTAATATGTGAGTGTTTTGCTTTAATTATTCATAATTTACCACAATTGTTTATAATTTTTCACCGTTTTCTGCCTCTATTTTAAGTTCTTTCCCTCCAGCTTCTTGTTCGACTTTGAATCTGTTGTCTCACGCGTCTTTCTAAGAGCAGATTCTTTGCAACAGTCTGCAGTTCTTGCATTAGACCATCAATTTGCATTTCATTTTATTGGTGTGGTTTTGTTTGATTGTAGCTGCAGCACTGGACATTTGTTACTAATGTTCATTTGAACAAGAGAAGTAAACTATTCCTGTATATTGAAGAGGCTCTGAAGTTGTTCCATTGTCTTAGAAATGGGAGCATACAGTGAAATGTTTGAAAAGAAAAAAGCCTTGAGTTAAGGTAGGGCTTGCATTTTCCATTTACACGTGAATATGCAAGATTTGTCAGCAGTGTTGAGCTTTCTTTACTATTTCATCTCATAATTTGGGCCATAAGCCAAGTGTGCATTGTGTGTTATTTAACAGCTTTGCTTTCCATAAACTGCTCAAGTCTCTCTCTTGTGTGTGTGCATAGGAAATCCTTTCAGAGACTGCCTCACCTTCATAAATCGCTGCGTGACACAAAAGGGCTGAACGCTGTATTCCTGCCTCATTTATTTGGCAAACTTTGCTACTGAAACCAAACTTAATCAATGAGCTCTGTGTTGTCTCCGATAAGTTATGTACTGGCTTTATTGATTGGGAAGGATTTTAGAAAACCCATGTGGGGTTTATAATGTCAGCAGTGTTTTGATTATGAAAAGAGTTGGAACCTTGGGACGAGGAACCAGGTGGTGTATGTCCTGAAGCCACGGGTGACACGGCTGGGCTCAGTCCCTCCGGGAACACAGTTCATGCCCTGCACTTTAACTGTGGTGACTGGCTGCTATAGATGCACTTTTTGCTCATTAAAATGTTAAAAATCAAACTGCATGTAAAAAGATTTGTGAAAATATAAACTTGGGGATTGATCCAGAAAACTGGCACGTGAGACCCCAGAGACACTGGTTTCAGCTACTGGGTAATTTACACTTCTCAGCTGTATGTCCTGGATCGTTCGAGGGTTCTGTTCTTTTTAGGGGGTTTTGCTTTAGAGGCATTTTATGTAGGTTTTTCTTTAAGAAAATAGGCATAGGGGAATAAAATAACAAATGATCTATTGATACTTCCTGAGTTTCATGTCAGGTAAGAACATAAAAAGGATTATAAGATACCAACATGGAGTGATTCTGGGTTTGGTTTTGTTATGGTTTTTGTTTGAAACCATAAAGAAATGATGATTTTCCTGGGCCATAAGTAACACCCACCTAAAGCGTTCTGGTAGAAAGTTATGTAGGATTGCTCATCTTCCAAACAGAGCAGTTTTTAAAGGAAAAGAAAGGCATTACATTTCTAGTAATGAGTTTGCAACTTGAGCACAAATTGAATACTTCTCCAGTGTTTGTATTTCTAACATGCAAAAGATCAGCAGTTTTGTTAATTAAAAACTATTTCTCGATATTATTTTTTTAATAGTTGAAATGCTGCCAAAATTTGTCTGTGGTTAACCCGGACCAGTCTCAATTTTTTAGTTGTAAAGCAATGCAGGTCAGTATCAGTGCATAGTGAGTAGTAAATTATGTGCAATACATTCTAAAAGCCACATAATAATATCACTGTAAAATCTTCTTTAACATACAAAGCAGTATATAATGGTACAAATTCAATATATTGCTTCTTTAAGTGGAAATTTCATTTTCTATGTTTAGGAAGCTCTAATATCAAGAGGAAAGTGCAAAGTAAGTTTTTAGTAATACCCTTACCCTACAATAACACAATGCTGCTGAAATGCTAAAGTGTTTTATTATGTGGAGGTTTTTACTTGCTGTTACTGTAATTATTTAAATCATCAAAATAATGGAGAGAATATATTCTGCTGTTCCGAGGCGATTGCTGACTTGTTGTCTTTTAACACTGTTTAGTTCAGAATTTATTTAGCAGCTACATGGCTTTGTTTCTGAAAACTAGATGCACAGTCATTATTTTGAGAACAGTTTGTATTGATAAGACAAATAAAAATGTCGGCACTTTATCCTCCTGCAGTTACAGTCTTGATTCTTTTAAAATTCTGGGCTTTGTGTGTGGGTTTTTTGTGTGTGGTTTGGTTTTCCTTTGTTTTAATGTTTTCCACATCAGGATTTCAGTTGTGGGTAAAGGACAACTGTGTAGTAGTTACAATTTGTCAGGATGTTGTTTTTGCGCACAAGCATTCAGTTGCTCAGCACACAGTCGATCTTGTGGAAGCCAGTGGGATTCGGCACAAGGGTGAACCCAATCACAGTAATAAGCCCTTTACTATCAAGGCATTATTTTGTATCAAAATCCGTATTTCTGCAGAGTTTACTCTGAAACCTCTGTAGCTCCTTGCCATGGCTCTTGCTGGAAGCGAAAGGAGGCTACTGCTTTGCTTTGCATGGCATTCTTCAATAGATTCTTTCTTGTTCTTTAAAAACAGGAGGTTGTTAAATAATCTATCAATAAACTGTCAAGAAGTCAAAGTTTCCATATCTGCTTCTGCCTGAAACCTTAAGAACTTGCCACGTTTTAGTTGTCAAGAAACCTCCAAAGAGGAGTCTGTGAGCAGTTGAGCCTGAAAACCATAGCGAAGAATGGGGTGTGCTTATTTGAATTATGTAGGAGGAACATGTTCTTGCAAGGGAGTCAATATGTTTTCTGCTTCATTGAATAGGTTATTAGATTGATGTAGTTTATTTGTTGAATGATGGCATTGGTTTTAGAAATAAATGAAGCGAGAAGCATCAATTTAGTTATTGGTGATAACTTATTGTTACTGATCAGAGAAGTGTTGAATGTTTTGGAGGATTTGTCATGTAATCAGGGTTATCTTGTTTCAGCTGAAAGCAGAAATATAGGTTACATTTCAGGTCCTGAAATATTTAAGTGTGAAGGAGAATGAACAGTGAATTGGCTGGTAGCAAAGGTCTGAAATCTCTGTAGACCTTTATGGTGGGAGGTGTATTATAGAATTCAAATTTTGAATATCATGGAACAATGTAAATGGGTTGCTTTTGTCTGTGAACACAACTGTTTGGGGACTGACCTGTTTCTGTATTTATTTAAAGTTGTAAAGTTAAAAATGATTAATTTCACTGCTGAGGATGTTTTCAGTTTTCATATTTGTGCTTTTTATTTGATGTCAGGCAAAGGCTATACTTGAAAGTTTCTCTGTGGTGCTGCTTTGTAACTTTTAGGAAATGGTTTGTAGTTTAACCAATTTGTATTAATTTTAATGCATATTATTTTAGTCAGTCTTTTAACACTCAGATTTTCATTCTAGTAGCAGGAGGCAACATTAAGCATTCCTGCTATGAGACCTATTGGCTTTATCTTTTGTTATTTGTCTTGCTGATGTTAGGAAGTATTCTCTAATCCCCCGGACCTCTGTTCCTAGGTAACAGTCAAAAGCTGTGCCAGCAGAAGTGGTCCTGCCAGGCCAAACCCATGTGGTTTGGTGTTATTCACTATGATCCATATGGTCAGGGTAGAGACTGTCCCCAGAGAGGTGTTAACACTCAACAACCCAACCTCCTTCTACTCTTTGGAGAATTGCTGGATGGCTCCTGCTGCCTGCCCATGTGTGAATCTTGATTAATTTTTCATTTTTAATGAAGTTTGATCATGTTTATTATTTCCCATGATTGACTGCCTGGTACTCCTTCCATGTAATTGATAAAGCCCATATTTCTTCATCTGTCTCTTATTTCTTCAGGGTAAAGTTGTGAAATTGTGTGATGTGGTTAATATTAGATTTATTGGTCCCGACAGATGTATAAATTATCTCTTTTTCTCTCCACAGGAAGTTCTACAGACTTTGACCAAGTTTTGTTTCCCCTTCTATGTGGACAGGTAGTGTTAGCTTTTCAAACTTTACAAGAAAATAAGCTTGTCAATAAAACCACTGTAGAAAATAAAAACCATACCATTCTTAATGTTCTGTCTGCCTGGCTGTGACTTAAAGCACCCAAGTGCAAATTATAGTCTCGGAATCACTTTTTCCTGGGGTTTTTATGGGCACCATCAAAAAAAAAGAAGTTTTAAAAGTTTGAGCTGTTCAGTGGCAGCAGTAAGAACATTTTGTTTTACTTCTGTGTAATGCTTGGTTGGGAAAATGCTTGGGTGGTAATTGTCAAATACGTGTGTTAATATCAGAGCTTTGTGTGTGTGTATGTATTTTATTTCTTAATTGCCAAAATCTGGGTAGACCTATGAATTAAATGCTTTACATTTAAAGGCTCTTGACCTCGCTGGAATGTTGGTGCTTTACTTGGTGGCCACTTAATGTGGCTTCTAATTTTGGAGGGGAAACTTGTAAAGTTACAGTGGATTTGACAGGAACTGGGAATGTTTCATTCTTGTCATTTAGAAAACTCCAGAATGTTTTTAGGTTTTTTAGTTTTGCTTTTACTGTGGGTTATTTTTGATGGTTTTGTGAAAGAACAAGGGTTCGAATGTTGAAAAGATGCACCACTGTTTGTATCCTCCACGAGCATCATTTAATTGGTCAGAATCACTTGCCTTGGGTCAGCTTACACACTGAACAGTTGTGATTGATGGAATTGACCTTAGCTGTGATTAAACTGCTAGAAATCTTTCTCATTTCAGTGAAATCGGTGATATTTACCATAGAAATTGATTTTCTTTATAAATCAACATCTGCTTCTGATATAATTTCTTGTTTGAACCCTTATTTATATATTTATTTACATACTTGCTCCTTAGGCAGCTGCTATTTCATAGTTCTCTATAAATGGAGGTGTAATCTTGCTGTGCTTCTCTGGAGATAGGAGTGTACATAATAAAACCACTGCTACACTTTGTAATCTGGGGCTTGGGGAAGCCAAAAGCTTGAATGGATCGTGCAGATGATTTGTTCTTTCAACCTGCTGGGTGGTTCCTGCGGATCAGAGTTGAGAGCCATGGGTGAGGCTCAGCTGGAGACACCGGTGCCTCTGCTGTATCTGCTTTGTACATGAAAAGAGAATCTGGATATCCTGGGCTGTCAACATGAGCAACTTAACCAGCGCTCCTTGACTTGCATGACCTTTAAAAGCCACAAAAATTTATGATTTGGAGTTACTTTTTGCTGATCATGTTTTTCTTTCCCCGTTCCCTCCCCTTAGGAAGTATTTACATATATTTTTCTAATGTCTGTGTTTCTACTAGAAGTACTCATGCTTACTGTGTGTAGGTTTATTGTACCTAGGGGGTTTGTTTGTTTTGTTGTTTTTTTGGGTTTCCCCAGCAATATAACATTTTGAAAGATAAGAACACTGAAAACCCATATGGGTGCAAATGAGAACATAATGAACACTGATTCCCATTTCTGGATTTGCTTATTTGTCTGAATATCACAGACTGTCTCTGAAAAGACTGTAAGCCAACAGTTTTGAACATAAAGGAGAGATCGTAACCCATAATTTAATAATTTAAAAATAAGGATCAACTTTCAGTACTCCAGAAGGTAGAGGATGTCCCAAGTTAAGAATATGGCAGCAGAAAGAGATGTGTGTGATACTTCTCTTTTTGATGTAAAAGTACACACGTACACACAAGTGTGCATGCATGCATAGGTGTGTGCATAGATATAAATATAAAACCAAATAGTTGTTGTAGTCCTCTGTGATATAAATTTGACATAGTTCAAAGCTAATCTGCCAGTAAGAAGGTAAATAGTCTTAGATCACTGAGTGCAAGTGAATTTAATGTGACTATGATAAAGAGAAAATAATACAGTGCGTCTGAAGTGCAAAATGTTCCTCATCTTTTAGCTGCTTCCAAGTTCAGAATGGATTGAACGCTGATTATTAGAGGCTGTTCCTGGAACACAGCAAGTGATGAATTTGCACTAGTTAGTCCCTATTTACTCTTAACCAACTACTGATTATTTATTTCTACATTTCTTAAATCAGATTTAAAAAAAAATAAATAAACAAAATAATAGCCCAATAACTAATTTATGTGCTTATTTAAGGTAGTGAGCAGATAGCCCCGTAATGAAATTAATTGGTGCCTTAATATTCCCCTCAATTTTCTCAGTAAACACTTCTTCTACATTGAGATGAAAAGAAATTGCTTCTAGAAGCAACACTGTCTTCAGTTATATGTCAGAGGGGTCTTTACAGTCATGTCTTACAGAGTTGACTAGCACTCTCTAGTGGGACTTTATCCCTCTGTATGTGTCTGAAAAGTGGTGTGTTGGATCAGAGCTCCAGTTACTGTAATTCTTAGTCTCCAGGGCTGTTTTTTTTTTTAATATATATATATATATAGTTTTGTTCATTCTGAACAAAAAGAGAAAGAAACACTGAAGTGGTTTCAGTAAAGGCCCTTCAAATACTTAGTAACTACTCCCAGGTAACCTGTGTGCCTTGTCGGCCACGACCATTTGAGTGTTAGAATCTCTGCAATATTGAGAGGTTGTACAATTATTATTGTTAACATAACATTGGAGATACTGGCTCATTGCTCTAATAACTTAGGAACATGGAATAATACCTTCTGTTGGAGTAATACTCTGTGTAAGATATATCCTCAAGATCTGTGGAAAAAGGATCGGTATGAATTGTGATAAAGAGACACTGATATGAGCAATCAGAACTGTGTAGTCACTAAAGAATAGACTCTAACCCTAACCTGAGTTTCCTTTCATCAACTCAGAGCCCAAAGTAGCATCATGAGTCATAGAACTTGAGTTTTCAAGTCCTGCTAGAGTGTTGTCCCCAGTTTATACCCCGTTTGTGAGGACTTTTACTTGGGGAAATTTAATTTCTGTAACTATGCTCTGTGTTATGTGCAGTGTTGTGCCACGCTTTCAGTGGAAACTTCTCGATGGGAGGTGTGTGCTCAGTGTTATTCCAGCTGAGTCTTGGTCTTCTGACTTTGACATGAAGCAGCGGTATTTCTTTGACAAGTGCTGTGAAAGGACATAAATCTTCACCTCCATGTGTGTCTCTTCTAAGGCTGAAGGTTTTCTAAGGCAGGTGGCATAAACTGAAGAAGTTCTGTTGCCTCTGCCAGATCACTTCAAATGATGATCAGACACCAAGATCTTTAGGATAGTGAAGATCATCTGTGTATCTTATCGTTCTCTGTGCTGAAGGTTTTGGCACTCATTGACACAGATTCTTAATTCTTTATATATTGATTCTTTTTATATGTTCAAAATCACCAGGGACTAGTTGGCCCTTCCTTTAGTCAGTGAACCATGAGTTTTCTGTTCTTATGGCTGCAGGATCAAGACAGAGACTATTCAAACTGCAGGAGCGAAGAACTCCACCTGAGTCAAATTTCCTAACACGATTAATTTGTGTTAGTTAGATATAGCTAGCTCTCCCTTTCCCTCCAGTACTAACTTCTGCCTGCTCATTTAGAGATGAAATTCAAGGTGCTTCCACCTTGTTAAGCTCTCAATAGACCTTCTTCCCGTTTGAAAATAGGGCTATGAATAACAAGCATCAATATTAAGATCTTAGGAAAAGAACTTTTTATCTTGGGAAGTTTATCCTTCCATGTGAAGAACTGACACTTGAGCAAGGCCTGTCAGACACATTTAGTTTCTGCAGATCACCTGAATGTAAGAATCTTTGGTTTTATTTTGGAGGAACTTCCCAACTTGTCACAATTGTTCCATAAGCAAGCTTTTCTCTGCCACAAATGAAGCATGGATTTTTTTTCCCTGTCCCATAATTTTAATTGTCAGCTAGAATTTCTCACACACGCTCTGCTCTCAACCTTGTTAAAATTAAGCATATAATCCCCTTTTAAAACACCATACTAAAATCACCATAGTAACATTACATCCAAGCTTTACAGATAAAACACAACAGCAGTCAGGGATTTTTTGGTATCCCCTGGCAGCTCAGTGTGGTTTATGGAAATGGTTGCTCTGTGGACCTTCACATTTCAGCAGGATGATGATACCCTGTCTAGTTCTCAGACTGCTGAAATGCTTTTAAATATCCGTCTTTTTGTTCACCTGTGAATTTGGAGCACTTTTTCATCTTTATCACTGCATGTTTTTCCTTCCCTACGTGGAATCTACTGAAGGATTCTTCTTTAAACTGGACAGTGACTTCTTTCTGATTTGGATTCAACTTTTATTACTGGAAGTCAGTAAACCCAAGATAAACTGGAACAGTAACCTGAAATAAGTGTTAATTTTGTATCATTATGCGATCTGAAATTGGATTAAAAGTCCTCTAATCATTACATCAGTCCCAGCTTCACCACTAAATGTCAACATTTCTGTTAAACACTAAAACTACATTTCTGCTAACTGGGAGGTGAATTGGGCTTGGCTTAGGTGGAGTTTGGCATCTCTGTACTGCTGAAGCACTTGATTAACTTTAGACAAATGGGGTCATATCTCAAGAATGTTTTTCATTTTGTTAATAAATAGCATTCAGAAACTGCCATGCTTTAAATGTAAAGCATCTTAATTTGAACTTATTTCAAGCACCACTTATTAGTGGTCAGATACAGATGCAAATTGCAGTATTTTTAAGGACGTCTTTTTAAATGCTCAGGTTTGGGGCTTTTTTTGCTTGTTTGTGTGGTTTGGTTCTTGGCTTTTGGTTTTTTTCTTTTGTTGTTTTTTTTTCTGTCACTGTGTTGTTCCAATTTGGGCAAACTTTCCTACAGTGATGCTTTCCCCTGTGGTGTGAGTAGGAGCCAATGTTTGAGAATGTGATTAGCTCACTTGTGCTATTCTTGAAGAGCTGTTAAGATCTTACAGTTGAGGCAAATTACTCTTAATTGTGAAAAAGCATGTAAAAGTCCTCCAAGATGATTTCTATAGTCATGGCTGGCTCTAGCACACTGTATTTGTGCTTCTGGTTTGGCTTATCTTCCTTTGCACACTATTCTAGGCTTTAGCTGTTAGAGTAAAGGAGAGTCACCTGGCGTGGTTCCAGCTGCTGAACACTTTGGAATCATGTATCTGGCATACATGCAAAATTGGTAGATAGATAAATAAAGCTTCTACAAGTCAATATCCAAGTGTTGGGGAAGCTTAGCGTGTTATTAAACATTGACTTGCTCTTGGAGTAAACCAATTTTCAAATGAAGAGTAATAAGGAAATATTTTGGGTTCTATGAGAGAACATGGGTTTGGTTTGCACAGTGTGTACTGCGCTGACGGTGGTTGATAGTCATAACCATTTTCATTTAAAGAGAAACACATTTTTAGTATCCTCCCACACTTAAAATACAGAAAAGCCAACCCAAGGCCCACTCCTCCCTCCCCAGGCAACTTAGAATATTCAAGTTTCTAGAGGGTGTATACTCACAAAGTTAATTTCTCCACGAAACACTTCTGAAAGAGGAAATGTTACAGGTTCAGTGACATTGACTGCATACTTTTGACACAGTCAGCTCAGCATTAATTTTTTTTTTCCTCTTACTCTCTTTATTTTCAGCCATGCAGTTAACCAAGTTGGGCAGAACTTTACATTTGTGCTTACAGACATTGACAGCAAACAGAGGTTTGGATTCTGTCGCTTATCTTCTGGGGCCAAGAGCTGCTTCTGTATCTTAAGGTAGGTCTGTGTTTTGGCTTTTGGCTGACTCTAGGAAACAGTGTTTGACTTTGCTGTGTTACACTGCAATTATAATTTCCAGCTGTTTAAACTTATTTTCCTATCTGGTCCTCAGAGTCACTGCTCTTCTGCAGAAGTGATGCAAAGTATATTGCACTTGGAGTTCCTCTGTAGATAAGTGTATTTGTTTGTAGTCAATGTTCTTGAGTTAACAATGTGCAAAAAAAAAGGTCTCTGCAGTAATGTGATATGACATAGCATGGTGGCAGCTGTTATTGTTAGCTGTCACAGCTGATCTTGTTAAGACATTTTGTGGACATTTGTATATGCAAGTTTTATTAACAAAGCATCTGTTGGTAACTGAGAGAATGTCACTGATGCTGTCCACATCCTGGAAGTTTGTATGGGTGAGCTTTACTCTGTTCCATTGAGGGGTTTGTGAAGTTTGTCATAATAAAGACTTGTGGAAGCTGGGAACAATGCATTTCACATAAAATGGGCAAAGAGGCTCTATCAGAGTGGGTTTTGGTGACCTCCCACGGACATGTTCAGTTACAGTGTGTAATTTTGTTTTTTCATTTGCTGCAAGAAATGATGCAAATAAAATCAGATTTTTAGAGATTTTATTAGATCCACTAAGAGCTCTGTTAAGAATTATGGATTGAAGATTTATACACGGCCTCCAGCCTGTTTTGTTTTAAGTGGTCTGCCTTGTGCTTTCTGCATATCAGTGAGAAATTGGAAGTTTTGGAGAAATAGCTCAGGTAAAGATAGCTCAGATTTGATCTTATAAATAGACTGATCCTTGCTCAATCAGTCACAAATGAGGACAGCTTCCTCTGTGAGCAATTGTAGACATCTGTCTCAGTCATTTCAGTTTTGCTTTTCACGTGAGAAAATCCAGTGTAAGAACAAGAACGTGCCTTTGTCCTTTGGATACCGTGTGTTGCACGTGATGGAACAGGACCTTCTTTATACATGTTACTGAGTATGACCCCTCTGGAGAATTTCAGGGTCAATGTGGTAAAATACAAGAACACCTGTCAAGTACAAGGATGGGTTGCATACAGCAATGCCACAGAGTAGATTCTGGGTTGATTAACAGGTTTAAAATGAGTGTCTGTGCCATTTGTGCTGGCATTAGGCTGGTGAAGATACCAGATGTGTGTTGCCATGTACTGCAGCATTATACTGATGGCAGTGATCTAACTAGGCCTTCATTGAAGAAGCTTGGCATTTGGAGAAATTATTGTGAAATCTACCAAAATTGCTACCTGACTGTGTAGGAGGCAGGTGTTTTCTGAGTATTTTCATTCTTTCTTTTCTCTAGTTGACATTTCAACTATTATTAGTGATGGCAATCCAGCAATTGGGACCATGTACTGAAGACAGGAGGGTATTTCCATAGCTCTTTTAGGGTGCTGATTCACTCTCATATGGAAAGTGTCTGATTATGTAAAGTAACTTTTCTTGATTAAAGACAAATTAAAGGGGAAGCACTTTAATAAGAAAATCTGAATGAGGAGTAGTGTGAGTCCGTTCTTGATCTCTCCTGGATAAGAGTTCTTTGCTGTCAGCTCCCTTATGTTGAGTGAATGCCAGGAAGAGATGGAGGAGTTATGTTGTAGTTAAATGCCTTCTGCTTCAACTCATAACCAAAAAACAACAACAAAAAAGAGACTTCCGTGCAGTTACAGCAGTGGATGAATTGGAACTCCTGGTTTCATTCCTATCACTTCTTTCTCCTGTGAACTAATGAGAAGATCAAAGTTCATCATTAATGCACATGCGAGTAAGTTTTGGAGGACAATTAGTAATGTAAATCACCATTACACAGTTTCACTTGCTCTGTTCCCAGGTCTGCAGCACCTGTTGTTGATGTGACTCTTCTCAGTGTCCATTATGGATTAAAGGATGGTGCATGGTAAATGGATGGGTGAAAACATGTTGAAGAATGTCAGAATGAGACAAAAAAGCAAGTGGGGATGAAAAAATGTTTATTTGCTTTTCAGTGACAGGTTGGATGACAGCAAGCTTTGAGATGATGATTTTTATTATTAGAGACGATAGTCATGTGTGTATGAGTCAGACATTTAATGGGTCTGGCCATGGTATAACAGTTTGGAAGAATTCATCACATTCATCATCACAGATTCATCATTGAAGAGAAACAGGAAGAAAAGGAAATGCATTTCAGTCAGCCAGTGCTATAAAAAAAATTCTTCAGCAGTCAGGAAGCACACTTTAAAGCTAGGCGCTATTTGGAGGGCCAGAAGGTGAAGTCTGGAGTTGGAGTTTTAAAGTGAGACTTTTTCATGTAGATGCAAAGTACAGTAAGGCACTTCTTGGAGTTCAGTAGCAATGATTTTATCGAAGTTATCCAGGATGTGGCTCCTGTGGCCAGCAGAAAGGCAATTCCATTTGAAAGAGTAACTCTTTTGGCTGTTTTAACCAGTACTGTTTAGAAATCTGCTTTCCAAGGTAGTTGTCATAGTTTTGTTCCCCCTGTGGTTAGCATCGTTACACACATCTATGGAAATCTTAGATTAAGTTTAAAATCTGCATCATTGAGGTGTTCCACGATATTCTGTTAATGTAGAACCACTGCATTTTGCCTCTGTTATTCCGTTTCCTCTTTTCTTCAATTGATTTCTAGCTGACCATGGAACTACAATGATCAAATGTGGTATTGTAGCACCGGTGACAACTTTCTGCATTTCAGACAGCAGAGGGCGGACAAAAGCACAGAACCACTGTCACGGATGGTCTGGTGGGGTTTTGGAGGTTCTAAGCGATGGAGTGAATTAGGAAAAACCCACAAGCTCATGTATCACACATCAAAATCTCCTGGGTGACTTGGTTTCTGGACTGCCATTTTCAATGCAATATATTACAAAACGTAGAATCTGGTTTTGAAGTATTTTCTCTTCCAAATGATGAATACATAGAAAGTTGAGAGCCTTTTTTTTTCCCCTGAGATTTCATTGAAGGAATTTGGCTGAGATGAAATGAATCCTATTGGATATGCATTAAGAAACTAATTTGTTGTTGTTGTTGTTGTTGTTGCTAGAGGTTTGCTTTAATCTAACCGGTAATGTTCTTTCATTAGGACAAAAGAGTCTGGAAGATGGTAGAGTTTCAGAATTTGTTCTTGATTTGCTGTTTCCTCCTAATTACAGTTGCTGAAACATAAATGACCTACGAGTGATTAAAAAAAGGACAGTATAAATTTATTTTTCTGCTTTCTTATACTCTTAAGGTATATAGGTACATTCTGATTCTTAAGATTTTTGCATGCTGAGGCTCTTAATTTTCATGTCCTCATTTTTTGATGTTAGATCTCCTTCCTGGTTTGTTCATTTTTTCACATTTCTAGCAACTCCAGCTGCATCAAGGTGTCCAGAAGCTGGTTTGTTGGTTCTGTTATGGACACTGTTGCTTAGTGGCTCAGCTCTATTTGCTTCTTTGGCTGAGTGCTGTTATCCAGAACTCTTTAGGCTTTGATGGATTTCAACATTTTTTGATGGAAAAGTAATGCATAAACCAGTTTGTATTGGTATGAGGAAGTGTACTAAAGGAGTAAGGTGTTTTATTTTACAATCTGGTTTCTCAAAGTTCAAGTGGACAAACATGTACGTGGTCTGCTCATAATGGGAGATAGTTAAAACCTCATAGCTGAAATTACAGTGAGTATGATGCTTCCACTTGTGCTGCTTCTAATGGTTGAAGAAGGGTGAGGAACATGACAATAGGGTATATACGGCTGTGAGGAGACTGCTGAACATGTGAAATCCTAAATTCTGTAGAGAAATTGGAGCATGAAATACCTTTATATCAAGTTCTTATATGAAGACATTATTTAAAAGTGCATATCAATTTTCTTTGTAGCTGTTTTTTTGTCCTGACATTTAGATGTTGTAAAATCTCAGACTCCTGACAACTTCGTCTTTCTGTGCAATCAGTTCTGCTTTAGGAATGTAAAAAATGTTGTTAACTCGGTCTGAATCCTTTTTTGATACCCTCATTGCAGAATGTTTATCTAATAAAGGGAACAAGTTGAATTTTTAGAAATATTTTTATCTTTTGTCTTCTGAAACATTTCCAGAATTCAGGGGAAGGACCCAGTCAGTGGTGCTTGAAAAATTCTTCAGGTTCTAAACAGGCAGAATCCAGTCATTTCTTTAAGTGCCTATTTGAACTTTAGAATAAGCTATGTGTTCATGAAGCACACTGCTTTGAAATAGAAATAGTGCCAATGTTGACTGTATGGTAACCTGTTTAAATGTATGGACTGCTTTAAATGTGTTAAGTCAGTGTAATGATTTCTGATTATATAAGAGAATAAAATGGTGGCCTGAGTATTCATATAGATAAAAAGAAATCACAGGCCTGTTCACCAAGTTGACCCTAGTATTAAACATGTGCTTCTCTTATGGCAACATATTTTTGAGTTTAAAAAATACATTAAGCCTTTTATCTGAGGAATAATAGACTCCCAATGCCCCAGCACTTCTACAGCAACGCTAATAAAACTGGTTTTAACATTTTTGAAGAAATTTACCACGTTGTGTAAAACATCACATTCTTAATCTAGTCTGGATTACTGGTATATAACAGAGTATTAAAATCTATAAATGGTTTTGTCTATGATTCTCCACTGGTTGTATTTAAATATATTTTCCAGGATGTCACTAATCTCCTAAAATACGATGATTCACTATTTATTAAGTTACAAGATTACACAGAATGTCTCTTCCGGTTCTCTGTTTCAGCAGAAGTCAGACTCAAAAAAGCCATGGCCATCAGCAGCCGGTGATACTTGCCCATCTGTGCAGATGAATATGTCACCCTTTAGCTGCAGTTTCTCCACAAATGTGATTTTGGTCAATTTAATGCTGTATTTGGTTTACAAAATTCCCCTTTTCCAGGTACTGTACAAACAGCTTTGGGAGATGTTAGGTGAATGCAGTGTTAGCTGTTCATTAGGTGAATGTCAGGCT